CCACACCACAGCAGTGGGCAACGAGCTTAAAGCCCCTGATGGCTCTGGGCGCTGACTCTCACCAGTGGCTATGGATGAAGTCACAGGCGATTTTCAGCCAGCGCTGGTAGTTTTAATTCTTAATTCATTATTGACTAGAAAATTTTTGCAAAACCAGTCACGTGATCAACCAGTCACTTGATTACTGTTACAATGCTCTTTACCATGGGAGCGTTCTTGCTTGAGAGATGGAGCTCAAGTATCAGACAATGACTATAAATCAACATGTTGTTGTGTTGGTGGTGTACTATAGAGTCAGAAGTGACCCACAGCTGACCCTCCAGCAGGTTTTCGGAGGCAGTCACACGGGAGGAGATTGCCCATCTTTCTCCTGTGGAGCAGCTGGTGGCTTCAAACCACATGCCTTTGTGATTGCAGTGCAGCTTCTTGACATTAGACCACTAGAGCTCCCTATATCGAACCCTCAATACTGCAGAGAATACAGGATACAAGGAAAAGAAAGAAAACTAGAAAAAGACATTTTCTAGAAAGACATTTGTTGAGACAAAATATAGCATTGCCTCGCACCTCAAGCACTTTATGGATGCCTGAAGAAATCATGGCCTTCATATGCAACAGTGGACTCCCCCACCATGGTCACAAAGCCTTGCTCTGTTCCATCTTTCTGAATTGTTCTTACATATGACATACAGCTCTCAAGAAATCATGCTAACCGGGAATTCCTTTTTTTTTAAAGAAATTCCATTTTTTCTTGTCTATCTAGTTCTCTCACAACTTTGAACATTAAGTTTCCTGAAGAAAAAGCAGGTGTCATACTTGCATGAAAGTAGCCACCACATCTATTCCAGAGATATCAAAGCCCCAAACTCAAGACACTGGTAAGAGGTGCTACAGGGCCTGTCCAAGGCAATGCACACAGTGTATGTTCACAGTTCTGAATGCTGCAAACCAATTTATTTTGTTTATAGAAAAATATCTCTACACACACACAATCTCCAAAGCCATCTTTATTAGCATTAACTACTACCAAAGTCACATTACATTAATCACTAACACAGTCTTTCCGTACTCATTTTAAAGGAAACGTTTTTTTCAGAACCAAACATCCATTGCCTTCAACTCAATTCTTATTCTTAGAATCCTACAGGACAGACTAGAACTGCCTCATGGGTTTCCAAGGCTATTAATCTTTACAGAAGCAAACAATCACATATTTTTTCTGGAGTGCTTAGTGGATTTGAACTGAAGACTTTTAGTCAGTAGCTGAGTGTCTTAACCACTGTGCTTCCAGGGTTCCTAATGTTTCCCTGACATGTCAGCCATATTATTAGATGCCATCAACTTAGCTCAACTAGTAGCAACTACCGACAACGAAGGACCCCTGTCTGATCCTGCGCCATCCTCACAATCTCTATCAGGCATACAGTTATACCGGTCTTACCTTCAGTTCCTCCCACAGCTTTCTTCTCATTTCTAGAGTTTGCTTCTTAATTTCTTTTTCTCTATGTTGTTTCTTCATCAGTATTTTATCAAGCCTCTTCATCTTCTGAATAGCATTTTGAAGTTTAAAGTCTAATTCTTTTAATTTGGGTTCATCTAAATTGTGTTGAAAGAAAGAAAGGTTAATGTTTAATAAAACTATAAACTTGCTTTGTATTTACTACTTGGTCTTTGAGTCAACCAACATTTACATCCGATGGTAATAACTGTTAGTGTTAGCAGTCTTGATTTAGGCAGGGAGGCTTCCATGTGTATTTCCTCATACAATTATCTAAAAACCTTGTGAAATGGCCATTCTATAGATTTTAAGGTTGAAATAACTGTGATCTTTCAAATACTTAATGAGTATATAGCATTGATATGAGTGGTAGCAAAGCTATAAATATTAGAATCCAGAAGTAGGTCTCTATGATTTTAAAACTGAAGAAGTTTGTTTTCCATCATTTAGCTATATCTTCTATACCTGTAACTAATGAAAAAGAAGCAAAATAGAGACTTTACTCTCAAGCTGCTTCAGACTAGCCAGAAAAGAAGGCATGTATATTAATAGGGGGTGGATATTGAAACAACATACAGAAACAAACTCAAAACAATTACTACATCTAGTTATATGCCTTTTTCCCTATACCTTTCCCATTTGTTGTAATCAGTGTTGTTGTTATTGTTATCATCAAGTTGTCTACCACTACCAACAGATCGACACTTTGTCATAGTCTGTGCCATCAGGATCTCCAACATTCTGACTCTTTTTTTTTTTCTTTTATTGGAAAAAACATATTGGGGGTACAAGGAGGTGAGTGTTGGGGGCAGAAGGGTGAGGATGGGCCAGGATGCAGTTGCAGAGCTGCACAGTTTGGTCGGTGGGGGGAGCAGGTGAAGGAAATGATGAGGGTCCAGTGGGGACCAGATGCTACAGAGGAATGACAAGCATTTTCCAATGGTAATTAAGCCAACTGTCTTATTGATTTGGGAATTGGATGCCGACTCTCTGGCTTCTTCATGCTGAACAGGGGCGTAGATGTAAAGGGGGAAGGGAGGACGCTTTATCTCCTTACTGGTGATCTTGGGTTAAAGCTGCTGGCCTTCTTATTATGTTAGAAGATATTTTCCTGTCATTTGCTCCCCTCTGGACTGCAAAGTGTTTTCCCAGGTGGGTCCAGTGTGGATGGCTGGTTGAGCCCAGAGGCTGCATCCTCCTTTGCTTCCTTAGCTGTCAGTTGTATTTCCTTTTTGTCACTGGCACTGGGTTTAGGGTCAATTCTGGAGTAAAACTCAGTGTTAAGGTTACCTATAGGAAAGGGAGCAAACCTAGAGAGGACAAACTTGTGAATTACAAACAGAAGGGCTTTGAGGGTGTTGCTTTCAGGTTTACTGGGGGGGAGGGTGGCAGAAGGTGGCCTAGGTAACATTCTCTGGATACCCTAGGCATTCTTTTTTTTCCCCCTTCCCCACCCAGGGATCAGATGGCACAATCTGGGGACTGAGGAACACACCCTGAGGTCCATGATGGCTCATCCCGAGCCGGGGGCCGAGGGCAGCCTGCCCAGGCAGAGGTCCGCAATGGCTCGCCCCGAGCCGGGGCTGAGGGCAACATTCTGACTCTTACAGTCAACATGTTAATCCATTCACTGAAGATTGTCCTTTTCTTTGCTGACCTCTACTTTTCCCAGCATGATGTGTTTTTCCAAGGACTGGTCCCTCTTAACAATATGCCCAGAGGATGTGAGACTAAGTTTCACTATCCTAGCCTCTAAGAAGCACTTTACTTGAGCTTTCTCCAAGATACACTTTCTTTTGGTAGTCCATGATATATTAAAAACTGTTCTCCAACACCACAATTCAAAGGCATCAATTCTTCTGTGTTCCTAATCAATTGTCCAACTTTATGAAGGATACCAAAGTTGGGTGAGGCATAGCTTAGTCTTTAAACGGATGTCCTTGTTCTTTAGCACTTCAGAGGGGTCCTTCAGAGCAGATGTATACAATGCAAAATGTCTTTGATTTCCTGACTGCTGCTTCCATGGGTGTTGATTGTGGATCCAAGTAAAATTAAATCATCAACAACTTCAATACTTCCTCCATCTTTCATGATGTTGTGTATAGGTTTAGTGGTGAGAGTTTTTGTTTTGTTTTCTTGATGATGTGATGTAATCTATATTGAAAGCTGCATTCTCTTATCTACTTAAGTTAGTGCTTCAAGTCTACTTTCTGTAAGCAAAGTTCTGTTGTCTGCACAACACAGGCTGCTGATGGCTCTCCTCCAGTCTTTTTTTTCTTTTTACAGATTTTATGATTTCTTTTCCGTTTTAAAAATTTGTTTGTATTCTTCCTCCAGTCTTAAGGTCACATTCTTCTTCATATAATCCAGCTTCTTGAATGCTTTACTCAGCAAACAGATTGAATAAGACACGGAGAAATGACACTCTAACATACCCTTTTCCTGATTTTAAACCATGTGGTGTTTCCTTGTTCTGTCTGAACAATTGCTTTTGGTCTACATCAACATTTCTTATGAGCACAGTTAATTGTTCTAAGATTCCCATTCTTCTCAGTAGTAGCCATAATTTGTATAAAATCTATACAGTCAAATACCTCTCCATACTCAATAAAAAACAAGTAAATATCTTTCTGTTATTCTCTACTTTCAATCAAGATTCCTAGAAAATCAGCAACAATATCCCTCCCTGTGCCATGATAAGGCATGGATTTTCTTCTGAATCCAGTTTGAATTTCTGGCAGTTCTCTATTGATGTACTGTTCCAGCCATTTCAAAACAATCTTTAGTAATATTTTTCTTGCATGTGATATTAATGATGTGGTGGTAGTAGTTGTTGTTAGGTGCTGCCAAATCAAGTATGACTCATAGTGACCGTACGAACAGCAAACTAAACCCTGCCCTATCCTGTGTCATCCTTGTCACCTCTAACACACTATTGCTCATTGCTGAAGTCATCATGTCACTGTAACCATCAAGACAGCTTTCACGCTTGTATATACAACTGTTGCTGCTGTTGTTGTTACGTCAACTCACTAGAATTGCTTTAGGTGTATTTCCTATTTTGCTACATTATTTGTTTAAAAAGTGAGTCATTTCTTTCTTCATCAGAGACATTCTTGAGTTACACTGGCTTTTTTCCCCTGCCATTACATTGGTAGTTAAGAATGTGATGACTGCTATCCACCTTGGGGCCATGATCCTGATACCAGAAGCTTGCCTTTTCATACCTGCTACTATTTCCATACCCTCAGTGCAAATGTTAACACTGTGGGTAAGAAAAGACTTGTGGAGCTCCTGAAAGGGTCTCAGGGACTCCTGCAAGGTACTTCCGGCCACATTTTGAGAAATGCTCTTCTGATTCAAGGACTAACGTAGTAACCATGGAGGAGTAGGCAAAGGGATTGGGAAAGTCTTCTTTTTAAAAATCCAAATGTTATTAAAATAAAGTAGAATTATCTCTAAAAGGGTATATACAATTTACAAGACACATTTAATTGTGCAATTTTAGCCATCAAAAAAGATCAATAAATCATGCCACAACATACAGAATAATCTCTTCTTCTTCTTAATGCAAAATGATTTAACAATTGTATTACATAAGCAGAGTTAAGGCTGTTGTACATAGTCGCTATGAGTCACAAGCGGCTCGACGGCACATAACAACAACAAGAAGTGCATTCAAGGTCCTTAATGTGGTTCCCAGGGGTTCGGTGGCTTAGTGGTTTAAGAGTTGTGCTGCCATCCACCAGCTGCTCCACGGAAAAAAATTGAGCAACCTCCTCCTGTGAGATTTACTGCCTCTCAAAACTCACCAGAGGGGGGAGCTATGCATTGTTTCTGACTCGAAGGTGCATAACATCAGTAATATGGCTGCAAATAAAAATTGGTGGTTGTTTGCTCATAAAATGCATTTGTTTTCATTATTTTTGGAGAGTTCTTTTTCTATTTGTTTATTATTTCTACATATATATTAATAACCACACCTGATACCAAGATTTTAAATATTGCGTCTGTTCTCAGTATTAAGGGTGCTCTGGTAGCTTAGTTGTTGGAGAGGCTCCTCGCCAGTAGTTCAAGTCCCCCTGTGGTTCCATAGGAAATAGGAAATCTCCTCCTGTGTTATTTGCAGCTTCCAACTCAACAGCAGTAAATTGAAATGATTCGGTATTAGCTAATCATCTAGTGACTGTCTTACCTGAACACCCAGGGATTGTCTGATGTTGAGCAAAGAGGAGATCTTCATCTGACCCCTCCTCTGCCAATTTTATCGTCTCAAAGTAGTCGCCCTCTTTGTCCTCATGGCGGTTTCTACTTGCTAGTGTGTTTCTACTTTCCGCTGTGCTTTCTGTGTGGCCCTCTTTGTCAGAGTTCAACTTGATTGTAGTATCAACCTAAAGGCAATTTGCAAGGGAATAGTTTCCAAATAATAATATATTGATCAAAACTGAATTTCTAGAATCTATCAATGCCAACAGAAGTATATGTGGGCGCATACACATATACATAGACACAATACTGAAAAGCTAATGTTCTTAACTAATACAACTACACAATTTAATAACATTTCACCAAAGACATATGCACCTCTAACATTCTAGTCTTTGCTTCCAGCAATAATGGAGAAGCCCAGTACTCTGTTCTAGAGAAAACTTATCGGCAAGCACTGGAGGTGGGACCACAACTGATATTTTCATGGTCCTTCTCCCTGAGCTTAAGCTTGAATGGAAGGACTACCGCTTTGCCATCCAATAAATCTAATAGTTTGTCACATGTGGCTGTGCAGCAGCTGATAAGTGGTTAGTCTGAAATGAGCTGTGCTTCTAATGACAGTCTGCAAATCAGAATCATGCACTTTGGTAATGCATTTGCTTTCAATGTCTCTGTTTCATTTTGAGTTCCACTTGAATTTGTAGCAAAGTTCATTTTGAAGACAACAGCTTGGTACAGCTGTGCTTTTCTAAGACAGACTATAAAATGGCATTCATAATCAGGCCAGGAAAAAAAATAAATATATTTCGAGGCCCTGAAGATAGTATATGGCAGTAAAGCTACAATAAAAGTGAACATAGCAGAGAGAGATCAAAACTCAGGGAGAGGGGGGCCAGCCACTTCTCAGAGGAGCGTCTTTCCCCTCCAGAGGGGCACAGGATTTTCTGTACTAGCCTTTTAGGGCTCCAATCATGGGAGGATTTTATGTTCTTCCTGCACTCACATGCTTAATTCCAACACTATAACCTGGGCTTCCTCATGAATCTCTAAGGCAGAAGATAGCTGGTGCTGTGAATTAAGGCTGCCAGGGACTCAGGACTACAAGAGCACTTCTGTTTTCCTGAATTAGGACATAAACTCCAGTAGGATCACTGGTATAAAAATGGATAATTATGACTCACATGTATACAATAATCACTACTGACCACATGCTGTGCTGAGCATTTTATACACACTGCTCACTCACTCTCACAATGGGCCTGTTCACACCTTACGGTCATATAAGTATCATTGTTCTGACTTGTAGTGGCCCTATATTATGGACTGAATTGTGAACCTCCTCAAATACAGGTCAACTTGGTTTGCAGCCTATATCATATGATCTTTATCTAAACCATTTTTCAAAAGCATGCAATCTTTTTAACAAGTTTACATGGTGACACATTAGAATACAAAATTTTTTATGGGAACAAAAAGATATAAGTCCCAATAAAGTACAACTATGAATAAATAAGCCACAAAGAAAGAGAAGAGAGATGGAAAGAAATACAGCAAAAGCCAAGAAAACTATGAGTGGTCCCTGAGCACATCCTCTAAAGAAAAAGCTTCAAATTGGATATTAGCAACAGTCTTGGTTTCATCTATTGCTGAGAGGCCAAAACCAGGAATTTAAATTCTTTCTCATCGGTTAATTACCTTAAATGACCCTGGTTCTGGAGAAAGAACCTCTAAAGCAGCATTTGAACTTCTGCTCCCAGGACGTGTCCTTGAGTTTGAGGCTGGTTTTGAAATTCTATCTAGGTTTCCCTTTATAATATCCATTGATATCCTGCAAACAAAATAATAACACTAATAATCTTCTTAAAAAGCAAATTACACTACTTCATTTAGCAATGTTTTGTCTTCTGTTCCAGGCACTAATCTTAACCTGTTAGGAGTAAATGAATTATGTATTCAGATTACTCAAGGCCTACAAATAATGTAACTAGTATTTGTATGAAGAGTGACTAGATAAATAATAAATGATTATATATCAAAAAAAGCAAGTTATAGCACAGATGTTTAAATGTTTCATTTGTTAATGTTAATATTAATGTTACTAGTTAAGAAAGACCCTTCATTATGTTGGCTCCAAAGTTACAATAAGGGTTCCCCCAATTTTATCAAAAGATGTTTTATGTACATGGATCATTAAAAAGGTGCAAAATATGATGCCCAGAAGGTTCTATCTCGAATGTGGCTAAAAGAGGATGTAGAAATAAATGCCATCTTAATGACTTTCTGTGCCTCCAAGGAAATACGTGTGCCCTTCCCTAAGGGGCCACTCCTAGGGTGTCCAAGCTTCTCAACTATGATACATGCTTCACTCATGAGTTACTAGGGCCTCTCTGCTACCTACTTCTGGTTTTGCTTTCTTATTGTAGCCTATTCTTGCCTTTCCCATTCTAGTTCATCCTTCAATCGGGGCTTCCCTCCCAGTTCTGATTTCTTTTCTCTTCCTTGGCTCTACATTTTCAAAGAGTACCTATCTCTAGGGCATTGTTCTGCCTCCCCCTTCGAAAACCCATGATTCAACATCTTCCCTCTAAAGAAAGAGAAAACAAATACACTTCCTCTACTACAGAAGACTTTCACTATCTAGCTGCTGTTAAGTACCACTGAGTTCCCTGACTAATAGTGAAACTATGTGCAAGAGGAAGAAACTCTGCCCAGGCCTGTGCCATTCACACCAACTCTGCCATGTGTATATCAATTGTTACAGTCATTGTGTTAACTATCTCATCAAGAGTCTTCCTTCTGTTTTCTGATCCTTTATTTATATGGTTTTTGTTGTGTCAGAACTAACTCATAGCTGATCCTCCAGCAAGTTTTCAAAGGCAATTAACCACATGGGGAAAGAACGCCCATCTCTCTCCTCTGGAGAAGCTGGTGAATTTGAACCTTGTGCCTTTGGCAGGAAGTGTAACTCCGTACCACTAAGCCACAAGATTCCTCACTGTGTGATTCAACACCATCAATTTCTTCAACTTTAATTCACAGGATCACTCACAGGCCTCTCTTCTCTATATCCTGGCTGTCCTACCCCAATGCAGCTTTCTAAAGCAGGACATTCTAGGCACACTGACTTCCAAACTACCTTTAATGATTGTAAGCACATTCTAAAAAATTGTACTCTTGATAAAGAATATTCCAGATTTCTTCAGTAATGTTGGAGGATCTATACGTGCTACATAAAATGGAAGAAATAGGAAGGATTCCAGGTCTTCCCTCTATAAAGCCACATGTAAATTAAGTATCTTCAATCCTTTCCTAAATTCCTATTAGTTATATATTAGACCACTTCTCTACCCAGAGTAAAGACAATATTATTTCATCAATTAGTCTAACAACTTATACTTTTCTCACCCTACAAAATGATCTGCTCATCTAGCTTCCTTTTTAAAAAACAATTTTTATTCATTCATGTTGTGTTTCATATGATCAATTCTATACATTGTCTTATAAAATTAATCACTATTGATCTATGCCCACTATTACCCCATCGTTTCAGATCCCTACTAGATCTTTCCTAGTTCCTTCACTTCTTCCCTCCACCAACCAAACTCTGCAACCCTGTGATGCCCCCACCACCTTCAAACCCTTCATTCCCCTTCCTTCTTTAGACCTTGATACACCTCTTACTAGTTATCCTTCTGCTTTTTACAATAATGGACTTATGCAGTATTTGTCCTTATAAGCCTGAGTTAGTTCACTCAGCATTATGCCATCTAGACTTTCCTATGTTACATAGTATTTTTAGAAATTGTTGCTCCTGAGTGCTGCATAGTATTCCATCATGTGAATGTACCACAATTCCTCAATCCATTTGTTTGTTGATGAACATTCAAGCTGTTTTCACATTCTTGCTATTGTGAATATTGCTGCTATGAACATTGATGTACAAATCTCCATTTGTGTCTCAGCTCTATTTTGCATGGAATACATTTCTAGAGTAGAATTGCTGGGTCATATAGAATTCCTATATTCAGCATTTTTTAGGAAATGCCAAGCTGCCTTCTAGAGTGGTTGTGTCATTTTATAATCCCATCAACAACATACAAGAGTTCCAATCTCTACACATCCTAACATTTATTGTTTGCTGTCCTATTAAACTTTGCTATTGTTACTGGGGTGAGATGGTATCTCATTGTGATTTTGACTTGCATTCCTCTTACTGTCAGTGATTTTGAGCATTTCTTCATGTGTCTGTTGGCCATTTGAATGTCTTCCTCTGTGAAAAGTCTTTCCATGTCTTTTGCCCATTGGAGGCCCTGATGTACTCTGTAAATTTTTGCTCTGAGACCCTTTTTGAGCAGCAGGGGCAGAGATTAGAAAAGAAGGTTCTGAAATAGAAGGAAGCACAAGCATATATGACCTCAACCTGCTCCCTGGCACACCAAGGGATAATATAATTTGCCTCTGACCATTCAATGTGCAAAAGTTGATGTTTAAGGGACCAAAGGTCAACTGTTTCCATCTTAGCAATGAAAAGGGCATTTTTCTCAACATTATTCAAACTCTGCAAAAGGGTTTCTACTTCCTTAGGAAGGCACTGACATTATTATTGTTGGATGACAGATTACCCTGGCCCATCACATCACAACCAAAAAAGCATATGTCAAATAAAGGCCAAATGTCTTGGAAATACCTAAGCATGCTGTCAAGGGGGACTTCATGTAGCTCACAGAGGGAGCAATGAGATGGAAGTGTATGCAGAGTCAATATAATACATGTCAATAAAGGGAAAGACACAGTAACTGCCAATGATGTGGATCGGCTACAAGACCCCAGAAATCTTTGCATCTGCTTTTGAAATTTAGGCCCGTTCTATAATGTTTGCCCTTAAAAATAACAAGGTAAATAAAGTTCCAATGTAAATAAGGATATAACTTCAAATTCACTTTATAAATTTGATCATATAAACAAAAGTATCCACAAAGGGCATTGGAACAGGTTCTAACAAATGTTTGTTTGAGAAGAAATGTCATCAACTATCAACCATAGAAATTCCATGAGAAAAACAGAGCATTGTACAAAAAGGATAATAATATTTAAATAATTACAAGAATATATGAACTGAATGTTGATTTAATATGACTTAGTTATACAGTAACAACAACAACAGTTATACTGAGAATGTGTGGAGAGGAGAATTCAAAAGGAGGAGGTTTTATATATACACATATTTTTAATAGAAAATCAGAGAGAATGTCCAAAACTTTATATAGCCAATATTTAAATAAGCATAATATTTCAGAGTTTAAGATAGTCAGTTCTGGGAATTGAGACCAGATAATGTTGTTGGGGTTTTTTCCACTTTCTCATGTTATAGTAAAGTCTGACATTTTTTAATCATTTTTCTATTAAAGTAAATCTTTAAATGTAAAATATAAAATTTTCTAAGGATTGGAAAGAAACATAAAAGAAAATTTACATAATCACAGGGCGAGTAATATAAATCTTGATACCAAGAGCATAAATCAAGAAAGAAAAGATTACTGTATTTGTTTATTTTTATAACATTTAATGCTCTTGACCCTTGCACATATAACAGAATTTTGAGTAAGAATAAAAGACACTAAAAATCTGGGGGGAATATATACAACATAGATTACAAACAAAAATTTATTAACCTTAAATGTTTAAAGAGCTCCTATCAATCAAGAAAATTAGACAATCTACTAGAAACTGAGAGAAACCATAAACAAGGAATTCACATACAAAAAGGCAAAGGAAAAAGGACAAGGAGGAAAACGTTGATTGTCAATATTGCTAAAAAGAAAACAAAAATTCTAACTAATTAAAAAACCAGATGGAGAGAGATCTAAACAATGAACACATATCAAGGAACTAAGATGAGTTAGATATGGCAGCTTCATAGATGTTTTCATGTTCTTTCCCCACAGTTTAGTAATCTATTTTTCTGTAATTTGTATTTTCTGTACATTAAATCCTTAACCTAACTTGCATTTTTATATTAAAAAATTACAAAGTTTACAAAAATTTATAGAATAAAAAGTACAACGAATTAATCATAGGGTCGCACAATTTGATGGGTGGATGGAGGGGTGGGGAAAACAAATGGGAAAAATCTGTAAAACGTCATGATTTTACATTTCACAATTATGAAAATGTGTATGAATTTTTTAAGTAAACCAGTATAAAATTAAAATTTTATTTAAAAAAATATAGTGACTGGAAATATGTTAAGACAAAAAAAAAGTACCAATAAAAATTACCCAATTTCTCACCATTCTGAACTAAATATTGTTGATATATTCCTTTTCTACTTTTGCTTTATGCCCTCTTTCAACAAAACTGGACTCATATCCTATTTAATACTATATGATGAATATTTTTGTTGTTGTTGTTATGTGCCATCAAGTCATAGCACCACCCATAGCACCCCTATGAGCATTAACTCTGAATCTTGCCCTATCCTGAGTTAGCCTCTCCATCTCTGACACACCTGACCCCACTGCCACAGTCAGTATCTCAATCCATCTCATTCAGGGTCTTCCTCTTCTGTGCTGACCCTCTACCCTTTCAAGCATGATATCCCTCTCCAAGGACTGGTCCCCTCCGGTGACATGCCTAAAGTAAGTGAGGCAGAGCTTCAGAATCCTTGCCTCCAATGAGTAAATTAATTTTACCCTCTCTACGACAGACCTACTTGTTCTCTTGGCACTCCATTGTATGTTCAATACTCTTTGCCAACACCACAACTCAAAGGCATCGATTCTTCTTCTGTCATTCTTGTTCACTGTCTAGCTCTCAGATGC